AGGCTGAAGGGCATACAAAGAAGCAGTGTGCCAACTACCACGCTTGGCGTGCTAAGAAAGGTATGCTGTTTAATTTGGTTTGTTCTGAGGTTAATTTAACTTCGGTTCCTGAACACACGTGGTGGATATATTCTGGTGCCACGACTCACATCGGTGTGTCCATGCAGGGTTGCCTCCATTGCCGAAAACCAAGTGATGGTGAAAGATACATCTATGTGGGTGACGGCAAGACAGTTGAAGTTGAAGCAATTGGAAAATTTAGATTATTGTTAAAGAATGGATATTATTTGGATCTTGATGAGATATTTGTTGTTCCGTCTTTTAGACAAAATTTGATTTCTATTTCTGTTTTGGACAAATTCGGTTATTCTTGTTCATTTGGAAGTGGAAAATTCAGTTTCTTTCATGATTCAAAATTGGTTGGTTCTGGTTCTTTATCAGGTTATGATAATCTTTATTTACTAGATCTATTGCTTCATTCAATGAATCTCTGCATTTAAATGCACGTGGTGTGAAAAGAAAATTAACCGATGAGAATTCTTCTACGTTGTGGCACAAGAGATTAGGTCATATCTCTAAACGGAGAATAGAGAGACTTGTGTCCGACGATATTCTCAACCCCTTAGACTTTACAAATTTTGACATTTTTGTCAATTGTATTAAGGGAAAACAAACCAATAAAAGGAGATTTGAAACCAATAGGACTTCAGACGTCTTAGAACTTATACATACAGACATTTGTGGGCCATTTCCTACAGTTGCTTGGAATGGTCAACAATATTTTATAACATTCAAAGACGATTATTCAAGATATGGCTTCATATATCTCATTCATGAAAAATCACAGTCATTGAACGTGTTCAAATCCTATAAGGCTGAAGTTGAGAATCAACTCAACAAAAGGATTAAAACTGTTAGATCTGATCGTGGTGGTGAATACTACGGTAGATATGATGGTTCAGGTGAACAACGTCCAGGACCGTTTGCTAAATTCCTAGATGAATGCGGTATTGTCCCACAGTACACTATGTCGGGTTCGCCCACTATGAATGGTGTTGCTGAAAGAAAAACAGAACGCTTAAGGATATGGTAAGGAGTATGATTAGTCACTCTACCTTGCCACAGTCGCTCTGGGGTGAAGCCTAAAGACTGCAGAGTATATCCTTAATAGAGTTCCAACTAAAGCAACTAATAAGACCCCTTATGAACTTTGGACAGGCAAAAAAGCCCAGTCTAAAGCATTTGCACATTTGGGGGTGTCTAGCTGAGGCTAGGCCATATAGGCCTAATGAAAAGAAACTGGATGCAAGAACTATTAGTTGTTATTTTGTTGGATATTCTGAACGATGAAGAGGGTATAAGTTTTATGATCCCACAAATAAGTCTATTTTTGAGTCTAGAAATGCTCGGTTCTTTGAGGATGTTGAGTTTGCGGGGGGAGATGA